GTGAAGATGTCAACAGTCTGATCAAATGAAGAAATAGAGAGAAGATGAACTATGCCTCAAGCCACATGTCGTCTTACCTTATGACAATTAATCTCAATATGTTTGGTGTGATCATGAAAAACATCATTGCGAGAAAATCTGTATCACACTCTGAATTGTCACAATAAAGAATAGTAGCACCAGAATGAGAGACACCTAAATCTTTTAAGAGCCAATGAAGCCAAAGAAGCTCTTGGGTAGTGTCAATAAGAGCACAGTACTCTGCCTCGGTATTGGATCGAGAGATAACAGATTGTTTCTTGCTATGCCAAGAGATGAGAGAGTCACCTAGAAAGAAACACTAATGAGTGATAGAACGACGATCAGTATGATCTCCTGCCCAGTCAACATCAGAATAAACACGTAGCTCGAGAGATAAGTGAGTGGAGTAATGAAGACCATGAAACATAGTACCTTTAATGTATTGTAGAATTTGAAGAACAACAACATAATGATTAGAGTGAGGGACAATCAAAAATTGGCTAACAAGATGAACAACATAGGCTATATCCGAGCGAGTAATAATGAGATACACAAGAGTACCTATCAACTAATGGTAAATAGTGGCATCAGAGAAATGTGTGCCATCCATGGGAGTAAGTCGAACATTTTGCTCTAATGAGGTAGGTAAAGTCTTGCAATTAGTGAGTCCAACACGAGTAAGAAGATCAGATGCATACTTGGCTTGAAAGAGATATTACCCACTAGAGTCAGACGCGATCTGGAGGCCCAAGAAATGGCTAAGAGAACCATNTTAGTGAGTCCAACACGAGTAAGAAGATCAGATGCATACTTGGCTTGAAAGAGATATTACCCACTAGAGTCAGACGCGATCTGGAGGCCCAAGAAATGGCTAAGAGAACCATAATCCTTCATCTCAATGTGTGTGTGGAGAAGAAGTTTGAGATCAGTTATACCAGGAACATCATCCCAGTGATAATCATATCATCAACATAGAGAAGTAGAAGAGTAGTGTCATGTTCAAAATTACGAACAAAGAAAGTTGAATCATAAGGACTAGAAGAGAAACCAAAATCTCTAATGGTAGTAATAAACTTTGCAAACCAGACTCTAGGGGTTTGCTTGAGGCCATATAGTGCACGACGAAGTCAACAAACATGATGTGGCGAATGAGGATAGCCAGAAGGAGGTTGCATGTAGACTTCCTAAGTAAGGTCACCATTTAGAAAGACATGTTTGACATCCATCTGATATAATTTCCACTGGCGGGTCGTAGTAACAACTAGTAGGCTTCGAACTCAAGTAAGACAAGCAACGAGACCAAAAGTTTCCTCATAATTAATACCATACTCTTATGTAAAGTCCTTGGCCACTAGACGAGCCTTGTAACGCTCAGTATAGCCATCAGATCGAGTCTTGATCTTGTAAATTCATTTACAACCAATAGCCTTTTGGTTAGGAGAAAGATCAACTAAATCCCAAGTATGTGTGTCAGGTAGTGCCTGCAATTCCTCTATTATTGCTTGTTGCCAATGAGGGTTAGAGCTAGCCTCATGATAAGAGTGAGGCTCATGTTGAGATAAAATAGTAGAAAAACAGTGATAATTATGTAAATGACCAAGAATGTTTCTTACCCGAGTGGAATGACGTTGCGGATGAGCAAGAGACTGAGTAACAACAGGGAGTGGTGTAAGGGGTTCAAAAGCTAAGTCAAGATCACTATTAATATGTAGTGGGGTAAGAATAGGATCAACAGGCAAGATAGAAGCCTCTTGATGGTCCATAGATGGGAGCTCTGATGAGTCTGGATATGGGTCATGAGGATATAGATCCATAGATGGATCAATAAAACGTAAAGAAGTAAGGGTAGATGAAAGCTAAAATTGAGACAATGAGAAGAACATCTTGTATTCCTAGAAGACAACATGTCGAGAAACACGAAGACGCTTGGAATATGAACTCCAACAACGATAACTCTTATGTTCAATCCCATAACCCAAGAAACAACAAAGATGTACCCGAGGCTCCAACTTGGTACATTCAAACGGCTGGAGTAAGACAAAACATGCACAACTAAAAATTCGAAGAGAGTGTAATCAAGGAAAGTGTTATACAATCGCTCATATGGAGATTGATTCCCAATAATAGGAGAGGGAATATGATTGATTGTATAGATGGCAGTAAGAGTAATTTCACCCCAAAAACGCTTAAGACACGAAGAATAGATAAGAAGAGCATGAACAATATCAAGAATATGATGATGTTTATGCTCAACACGTTCATTTTGTTGAAGGAAATGCAAAATTAAACCCATCACCTCTACCACAATCATATAACACACAAAACCCACTATCATAACCTCTTTTCTGATGATGTTAAACGACAAGATGTTTTTGTCACCATTATGTTTCGCGAGTTCCTTTTCGACAATAACGAACTCTCTCAAATTTCATTTCTTAATTCTATTATGATTAAATTTGTTCAAACCAACCCGCTAGTTTGATTATAAATTTTTCAATTTCACTACCAACTAGGCAGTCGCTGAAGTCTACAAGCTCACTCAGAAGGTAACTGGTTTCAAACTAGATCAAAGAAACAATGGATTCCCTATCTCAATAGCACTTAACAAGGTAAAGTATATGCCATCTTCATGGGGTTTTATATTAAGGATTATTTTGGAGTTTATTAGCGGATTGAGATTCTGGTTACGATCACAAGGTTTAAACCATCTTTTGTTTATTGGGTCATCAATGAAGTGAAAGTTAGTGGTGTCATTGATTGGGTTATTAGGGAGGGGGTGGTGGTGCGGTACTGTATGTAAGAAATGGTGGCAGTGTGGTCTTTGCAGGTTGGCCTGAACAAGAGAGAGAGAGAGAGAGGGAAGAGAGGGGCAGTCTATTATATAGAAAAGAAAAAAAAAAGGGAGGGGGGAGAAGAACATTGAGAAATAAGGGTAAATTCACCATTCAATTTGACCTATAATGGCATTTTAGCCAGCGAGCTATTTGATGTAAAGGTAAATAAGTCATTCAACTTGCACAAACAATAGCATGTTAGATCATTAACAATGTCTACAGGGTAACTTGTTATTTCTAAAAGAATCTTGTATTATGAAACTACTCTTTGGCTTGTCAGCAAGCACCACCCACAACAAAGTGTGGATGACGCAAATATATAAAAAATATATTCTAAAAGGAGATGTTCGTAAAATACATTATTATTATTACAGTGATGTTCTATATTTAGTGTATCACTGTAACATTATGTATAAATAGTTTATAATATATTCTCTCTCCTCTTATTATTTCTCACTTCTCTTGTCCATTATTTGTTTTTTCCTCAATTTTTTCTCTCCCTTTATTTAAGGGTATCAATAAAAGTACAAAATATGTAAAATAATATTTAAAAGTAGTATTAAAATATATAAAATCTGTTTGGGTATATATTAAAAAAATCAGTAGCTAAAATTAAAAAAAAAATACACTTTCGAATGGTTAAAGTACATACCAAAACTTTGGTTTTGTAGTAGGTACCAAAACTTTTATTCAATACAATAGAATTACCCCTTACTGCCGTATTGTTTTTCTCTATAATGGGCAAATACTAAATAGTGTTTCAGATTGCAGATGCTTGTTTATTAAACAAAAGGCAGGGGAAAATTACAATGAGAGTCACAACCTAGATCCTATCTTCTTGCTCATGAGAATCGAACAGGATGAATTTCACTGAATACATGCAAATAAAAAGAACAAAACCCAAACAAAGAGGAACAAACAATAATCTATAGGGAGACAAAATTGTTAATAATGTTTTGTTATTGCCATAGGTACTAAAAAGGAAACATTGCTGCTGCTAGCAAAACTTCCCCAAGAGGAGATGGTTGAAGGTAATTAATATTATTAATCTGATCAGCACCTTGATACCATAGTAGGTTATTATCATCATCACCTTTGATTTCCTCCATCATCAAACCCGGCACCAGCGAGACACCACCACCGGTACCACCATTATCATTGATTCCGGCATCAACTCGAGTCGTAGATACTGCCTTTGCCTGAATGTCCAACTCCATTAATGGATCAAAATAATAGTACTCACTTGTTGTGATTTCTTCTTTTCCATTGACCACCTGCAAAAACTCAACTCTATCTCTCACGGTCTCCAATTTGCACTCTATCACCTTCAATAAATCCCTCAGGGACTGTTTCGAAAGCCTGTCAAGCTGGTGGTCGTCGTCTCTGTTCGGAAAAACCACCTTTCTGGAAGATTGTTTTTTCCCAGTATGATCATGATTATATTCTTTATAGTTGTGGATGAGAGCTTTCAAGTCTCTGGGATTCTCTGGCCAAGTCTCGACCTCCCCGTCTGGCCCGAAAACAACTGCGCACGCTTTGATGTCGCACAATACTGCAAGTTCCATTGTCTTCCTCAGGACACAGTCCTTTCTTTTCTTGAAACTCAGTCTTTGAACTCTGTCGTTGCCCACTTTTCTCATTTTAATCTTCGTAGGCACCATCTTGTTAATGGGTTGGGTTGTGTTACAACTTCTAACTGGCTTATATATACAGAGAGAATTACTGTTGTAGCAAGTAAGAAATCTTTGGAGAGAGAGAGTGTAATTACCTTATTAATGAGACATTTAGTAATGGAATCTCGTGCTTTTTGTAAGTTTCCTTTTTTCACACTGTTACCTTTTTCTCTCTGTCTCCCCAAACCAAAGGTAGGTTAATGTTCGGCGTTACTTATATTTTGGTCAAATTACACTTCAACCCTTCAACTATGGCCAAGATATCACGTCACCTCTTGAATTATTGTATATTTTTTTTTTTTATAGAATTTGTTGGAAAAACTTTGTACCGGGTGTTATCCATGGGACAATGTGAAAGTACTGGCTTAAGTGAAATTCTAATGTGAAAATTATAATAATTAAAAGAGCAATATGAAATGAGAACTATCATTAAGGGGTTAAAGTATAATTTATCTTTGTAATTTTTCTTCGATTAATTGTCATTATGAGTCAGGGAATCGAATCAAATAAAATCTAAAAGATTGACGACCAAAAATAAAATAAAATCTGAAAGTGACGTCGTATTGAAAGCAGAAATCTTCTTTCCTTATTTTACGGAAGTCAATGTGAATGGTCCAAGCTACCCTCACTCGTTGCCGCCTCAGGCTATATTAATATAATGAGAAGAGGGTACTTAAGTCATCTCAGTTGTTGACGGGAGATTTATTTTTATCGATTAAATTAGGAAGGGGCATTGATTGGTACTAACATACAATTAAATTTGTC